AAAAATTGAAGAAATTATTAATTTAGATTAATTAAACAGAACATTCACGACACTGCAATGTTGAAAATATTGTGCCTTGCGAAAATGCGGAGACAGCAAGTAATCAAATCTCTGTTTCACAGAGATTTCTCTCTGGAAAGCGGCTGTTTGAATAAACTAAAAAGTAATGGATAGAGAAAAGGCTCTTACCGAGCTTTATTTAAGACATAGCACCCATAAAGTACAGAAAATAATTAAGACAGATTGTTAGTGGTAGAAAAAGGCTCATGGGAAATGTAATTATCCGAGTCTTAAAAACAGTACTTTCCATATAGTCATTTTTTACTGTATATTGTTAGTAATGGCCGTTTGGCTCCGTCTGGAAATGTTACGGTGTTGTGAGGAACTAATTTGTGTTAGGTTTTTTAGACATGTTTGTTCAGAGATTGTTCTCTTCGTTACAAAATGCATCCTACTGTATGTCAACCAGCCTGATAAGGGAGATTTATTTTTCTTTAAGGAGCTGTATGTTTCATTTCAATGCGATATCAGGTTATGGCTTCAGTTTTCATACCTGCAGTTTCACTTGAGTTGACTGTGAGTTTTTTTTTATTTTCTATACATCTTTTATGGTTTTATTTGGCATTAACTTTAATCTGATTTTACAAAGTACATTTGTCTTTACATAAGTGGCATCTCAGCTTTCTGGGTGATGTATGCTACAGCAGAAATCACTGCATTAACGGAGTAATTCAAAACCTTGTACTGCAAAGACAGCATAGTTGGTTCTTGGCAGCAGTGATCTCCAGGTTTTGAACTGGGTGAAATCAAGATACAGGAGCAATTGATTGCGTGTGGATTCTTTACAGGTTTTAAGAGTTGAGAAGTTAACTCATTGCATCCATTAGAAAAAAATATTTATAATCCAAATGTTTTAAAGGCTTTGCATAAGTATGTATGTTCTTATGTCTTATCACTAATTATCATGAGGTTTTAAGCCTAAACTGTAATTAACCTTGTAGTTTAGTCCTTGATCATGGAAGGTAAAAGAGCCTTACCACTAAAGTCAAAAGGATGATTTAAAAATCTGAAGGCATGGCATGCACTAAAATAAACGTTAGTCTGATTTCTTTTGATAATATTTTTTTTTGGCTGCAAGAATATCCTGAACCATTTATTGCATTATTTAGACCCATTTTAAAGGGGACATCTAAAAAAACACTTATCCTTTGTTTAGTCCTACAAGCAACTACTGTATTTGTAAATATTTTGAAAAATACAGAAATTGGATTTGACACATTGGATGAACTTCTGCCCGTGCACCGAGTTTATTTGCAAACCAATATCAGAACTGTATTTTTTCCCACATAATGCAATCATTTTTCATTCTTTGTTCTGATGATGTTTTGCATTTCAGAGTCAAATAATCAATGAATGCTGGAATAAGCATTTTTCCAGCAAGAGAAAATTAGCTTTGCAGAATTATCTGATTGGCACTCCTTTTTCTCAAATTCTAATCCATTGTGACAGCTCATTTTCCGTACAATGTAAACCACGTGGACATTCGTCTTTAAAAAAATAATGTTCCACTGTGTTTTTCGAAGTTATTAAATAACAAAAAGGCATTTCAACATGACAAAATGCACTGATTTACAGAAAATATGTTACATATGTTACTTATATTTTTTATACATAGTGTACTTTACTACACCTAAAGCTACAACCTTTAAATATTTTAGCTTTAAAAATAGTTAAAATATTAAACTATAAATACTGTATGATCTCTCATCTTCAAATTAAATGAAGCTGATGTTTTGGATATGCATTACAGATTCTTAATGAATCTAATCAAAATAGTTTTTGTCCTCAGAGGCCCAATGTATTTCTAGTTATTTTTTCTCCATTGGTACCCTAAACCTCACATAAAACCACAGTTAACCAGCACTCCTCTGTGTGTTTTGGGAAGAGCTTTTTGAACTACACCTTGACAGAAACTGAACTCAACTCATCATTGTTTAAGAATAGTTTTGATTTCCTTTAACACACATTTAATTAGAAAATCCTGCTTCAAAGCTTCAAAAATGTATATTTTAGAGTTTCATCAGTGTCTGTCAAAGGAAGAGGAGGCTCAGTTGTACTTGTTTTCATCATACGTACATTTTGAAAGCTGGAGTTGCCTGAACTGCCTCTGAATGTAAATGAAGCTCTTTCCCCCTTAAATAATCTGTGATGAAGGACAGAAGAACAGTCTTTGGTACAGCATCACAAATGTTGAACACAACACTTCAGTAAACGGAGAATGTTTTTTTTTTATTTCAGTGTACTTTACATGCAAAAATGTTTTAGTAAATTTTGGCTTTTGCTTTCTCAACCTCTGAATAAGCTATCAAGTTAACGGTGACTCTGTCATAAACATGTAGTGGAATGAATCAAACAGGGTTTTTTTTTGCTTTCTGGGTTTTCTTTGCATTATATTCCTTTTAGAACAATATATAATACTGGATTTGCATGATGAACTTTGAGTATCTGTTTTGTACAACAGAGTAGTCTTGGCAAAGTCTGTTAATGTCACTAGCTCAGGGGAGCTCAGTCTGCCGAGTCTTATTAAAGTGATCTTTGTCACACTGTTTAATTACTGATTACTGATTAAGGTTTCACACTTGGCTCTGATGTCAAAATACTACAACTTCTGATGTCAAAATACTACAAGCATTGTATATAATATCGATTAGAATAAAAATAAATATGTCCATAATATTTACAAAAGCATAAAAAATTACAACAAACATAACAATTCCGATTGCAGGTGAATCTCTGATGGAAGGGGCTAAATTTCTCACCCTCTGGGAAGTTGTAACAAGAAGATGTTCTCTTCCTTCTGTGATTTACACAGCACTAGCAAGCATCAGCAGATCATAGTGTTTGTTTTAAAATGAGTTTTTCCGCTAAATAATCAGCTGCCAGACTGTTCAGTGCTTTAAATACAAGTAAACAAGTTTTAAAGTTAATGCTATAATGTGGGTGGATTGTGGGTTTGTGGCTGATTTTGCTTCCTTGCAGCTTTTTTGCCCTGGGTTCAGTTCTGGCGGTGAGCACTTTCCCCATCATGTAATTATGGAGTTTGCATATTTTGCCTGGTTTGTGTGGGTTTATGCCACATGGTCTGGTTTATTTCCGTCTTCCACCAACATGCTTGCAGAAGAGCTTGGTGCCTCTAAATCTTTCCTGTGTGTGCATGCGCGTATGATGGACCAGTTCAAGCTGGTGTCTCGCCATGTGTCTTATTAAATATGTCATTCTCTTCAGTGCTGAGAATATTTTTACATTCAGTCTTATTTTAATGTAACTGTAAAATATGCTTTACTGTAAATATGCATCCACTTTACAACTAGAAATAGAATTTTCTATAAAATCCGCAGGGTTGAGGGTTTGTGCCATATTTATGAATGGTTTTGACAAGTGGGAGAACTTAATGTTGAGAAAATAATCAAGGGTCCACAGTGGATCCTTCAGGAACACCACATGTCTATCTGTCCATTCCTGAAACGTTTCGGTTTGTTAAATTTGATGCAAACCAGCTCAGAAAAAGTTCCTAAAAGACCCTCTGAAATTATCTTAAGATGAAGATGGAAAGATGGTAAGAAAATTACAACTTAAATCTAAAAAAACTACGTATGCAATTTGAGTACTCCTTACACATTGGCATTTCTCACTAAATTCAACCAGTGAACTGATTAAATTGATCAGGGCTCACATCTTCCAAGTCTTTACACAAGGATGATGTAAGGTAAACTTGCACAACTGGATTTTATCTCCATAAAACTGGCCACCACCGTTTTAAATACTATTCTTTCAAGCACATGAGCTGTAAATGGAAGGTGTGAAATAGTTCTTTGCGTTACTTAGAAATTAAAGTGAGATTTATTGAGTGAGGGTTTCACAAGGGCAGTTTTAAAAGCAGCTGAAAAAATGTCCCAGTAGACAGAACTGTGAACTGCAGCAAGTGTACAGATGTGAGAAATAGCGCAGTTGAGTTGGGCGAAGTTGTTTCTGGAGAATGCTAAAGAAGTGACTATAGGTCGCTTTGAGTATAGGTCTGGACACCCTTTGTTATTACCATGAATGGGTGTTTATGAGTAACTCCCAGAAAAGACTTGTTCCTGATAATGTTGCCTGAAATGTCACGTACAGCAGTTATTTGTCATGTCATGTGCAACAGGTGTGTTTAAAATTCAGAATAATGGCCAGGGTCATTTCTACACAAGGGCATTATCTGTAGTACAGCTGCCTTTAGTTCTCACCTGTTAATAATAGAGAATGAGTTTGTTTCTGATAAAACTTTTGAATTTATGGCACAATTACATCAGAATTAATTTTTTTATTGAAACTTTTAATTTTAATTTGAGAATATTGTTTAATAATAGAATTATAACTGTATTATAGGATTCATTTGTCCATTGTGGAGGAAGGAACTCTTTAGTTGTCTTTGTTTTCTTTAATAAAGTAAAGGAAACAAAGCTCTCCTTGCTAAGCTTGGTGCTTGTTCTCTCACTGCAGCAAAACTGCCAGTCTTGGGTGGGAAGACTGTGCTTCTGAGGAAAAAAGGGCTTTAAAATGTAAGAAAACAAGAGAACGGTCTCTTCAACAGAATTAAAGCGGTATCTAATAAAAACACGAGAGGCTTTCTGTGTAATGTGATTGGAGCTAACTAAAGTAAAATTAGTTTTTTCTTCAGGACAAAGTCCCCGGTTCAGCAGTGAAGACACTGGGGAGCTACAAACAGGCCTCTGTGTGCAATACAATGGTGGCAGTTTGTACAGTAAAGAACTACAGCAGCCGAGACGTCAGTGAAGCTCAGTCCGAATTCCTAAATACGTTACCTTTTTGTTCCCTAATAAAAGGCTTGTGGTAACGTGTTAATTAACTGCTTTGCCAAAGATCTCATTTGGGATTGAAGTTGTAAGCCTTGTGGGTCACTGTACAGTACATGCCTTACACGTGCGTGCTGCTCTGTCACACAGATCACAGACGTGTCCTTGCCAAACTACCTTGTGGCATCTTCAGTTGGACTGCTCCCCACCCAGCTGTTAAACTCCTACTTGGGGACCACACTGCGGACAATGGAAGATGTCATTGCAGAGCAGAGCGTCAGCGGGTATTTGGTTTTCAGTCTGCAGGTATGTCTGGTCTTCATTTTTCTCATGTCTCTCAGACACATGTCATTATGGGAGTGAAATGCCATTTGGGCGTGTGTAACCAGTGTTCATGTTTCTGCTGAAACCAGTTTATGTGAATGAAGTGGAAACATTCCCAACATGTTTTGCAAAACACTGGTTGCAAAAGCTTAACCTGTGAAAAAACACTGACTTTAGTTTATGGTTTCAGGGTCAGGAATCTAGCAGTTGAATACGATAAACCATAATCGAGGTTTTGTGCTATCTACAGTATTACATCATTGGGTGTAAATTAATACAATGCTGATACATTAACTTTAATAAACGCAAGTCACTTTTGATTAAGGCATCAACCAAACAGTAACAACCTGAGATAAAATCATTTGTTAAATATTCACCCAGGACAAGCTGAGTTACTATACATTCCTGCTATTGACTGTGCTGTGGTTGTGTTCACTAAAGTTCTGAAGTGTCTTTCAAATACACACACTAAAAGTGGTAAGAGGAACCATAAAATGTTATCCATTGAGAAATGTGGAACTGTTCCAAAAACTAGAAATATTGCAGTGTGTGAATTTGACAATGAATATGTTGTTTGCTTCTCCAAAATACAGACATAAACAAATGGAAGGACATTTTTTTTCTTATTGATTCATGCAGTATTAGAGTATTATTATTTATTATTACTGCATGTATATTATCTGTTATTCTTCATTTGATATGTCATAGAGCATAGTCCAAGAATCTTATTGTATAAATTTTGGAAGAATACAACAGTATTTTTTCTTACCATCCTTGGTGATTGCACTGAATCGTGTCGGATCTACTGGCAAACTTTCTGTTAGCTGGTGGGAGTTTTATTCCTGTCTCTTCACTGCTGTTTTCCTTCACTAAGCTCATTTGCAAGAAGGAAACCACTAGTCTTCTAGTGTTTTGCTTTAAAACATATTTTTAACATAATCGGGAGTAGTTTCGAGAATACAGTACAGCTTGAACGATTTTTTTAACTCGTCTTATTACTAGAGTTGTTTCTGTTGAATGAAAAGGCATTTGTAAAATGAGTTAATTGACAAAATATTGGTTCTGCTGTCGGTGGAGGGCTAAATAAACAATATTCATTGCAAATTTGGACTGGGTTTATTGAAAAGCAGTGCACTTGTTAATGCTGAATGCTGTCCTGTGTATTAGGAATGGGTTCACAGTTATCAGTCTCAGCACAATATTGAACGAGGTGGCATTACTGACGTGATTTTAAGACAAGATTGTCTGATCAGAAGTAAAATCAGAGTGAGGAGTCTTAGACTTCATACTTGGATGCTTGCAACCCTTATGTTGTTTATTAAGACTTAAGCTTAGGCTATTTTAGATAGAAGTAATGGAATTCCCTGTCTCTAAGAATTTTGTGTTACACTCTCTAGGTGTCATGACCAGTATTCCCTTCTTACTCAACATCAAAAGGATGCAGCCCTTGGAGTCCTTAAACAGATGCTGCATAAGTTTGCGTAGTGTTTTGTGAATGTATTTAGTGTGAGCAGTACAAGAACAGGGAAATAAAGATCCACCCAAATGTAAGTGAATGTTAGTTTTGTGCTAGTGGGAGGTGTTTATGATCACCACATAATATGTTCTTTGACCTATTCTGTCATATTTATTTAATATGAAACCATTATCTGAAATACAGCCTGTTCTTTCATTCCTAGGACTTTGTACAGTCAGTATAAAACTGTTTTATTTTCTTTCCTCTGCAAACAGATAATGATAAGCATAGGCTTGATGTTTTATGTCGTCCACCGAGCACAAGTAGAACTGAATGCAGCTATTGCAGCCTGTCAGATGGAGTTGAAAACATCCTACATGAACGGCAATCCAGCGAACCTCAGCAGCTCCTCATACTGCAGCAAAAGGACTTCAGCAACAGGAGGAATCAATGTGGTTTGAACCCATGCCGAAACCTTGGGGTTTTACCACGTGATTTTGAAACTGATGCCAAGATAAAATTGCTGAGATTTCCAAGACTGCAAATGAAGGGTTTGGCTTGCTGTAATCACAGGCAGTTCAACTTATCTTATACCCGGCTTGTATATTATATTACACAGCCTGAAAAATTGTTGCCGAATGCTCTTACACAAGCAATGTTGCTGCTCGAATGCAAACTGTGATATTTCACAGATATTGTCTCCCTGTTGTCGGGGGAAGGGGAAAGCGGCCAGAGTGTCAAAGTTTTCAGTGCTTATGAGGTACATTTTTATTTTCTCAAAGCTACAAATAAAACTGAAAATTATTCAAGGCAGAATAGATATTTTTTTATGTACCAGCTAAAAAACACGTCTTTGGGTTGAGGGTGTTGGTAGATGCTGAATAGACCAAAGACTCAAATTTGGTTGGCCACAGTAGAAATAAACTTTACAAGTTTTTGGTATGTTATTTGATGGTGTTCAATGCACACGGTGTCCTCTCACACTGCTCAGTTAAATTATTCCATTAGATAATGTTGGTTCAATAATTTTCAAATATTTCTGACAAGAATGCCTTGCATGTAAGGCATTTTGTATGTAAGCTCCAAGGGTATGTTGAGAGGCAATTGTTTACCCTTTTCTACTTTAAAGAAGGACATAATTTGGTGACGGAGGAGAAAAAGTGCATTTTCAAGATAACTGCTTTGGAAAATGTATATCATACTATCATGCAGCCATCTGTTCCATCTCTTGAGTGAATGGTGTGCTGTAAGAATACAAAGGACGTCAGATGCTGTCTACTGCTGAAGTATTGCCTTTGCACACTTTATGACTTTTGATAGCTTGGAGATGGAATGGTATTTTCGAACGTGACAATGAAGACAGTATGCTGAAAAATCTTTCTGAATCCTTGTGAAGGTCAGGGTGCAGATGCATGGGGAGGATCCCTGAAGTGGTTGTTTATTGGGTGATAATCCCAACAGAAAAGAGTGAAAGCATCTGAAAACAATCTTTACATGCGTTTTACAATGTACTGCTAAAGACCTGAAGAATCATATAGAGTATCATTTGAATACGTACAGTAGCTCTTGCCTTATTATAAATGCAATCTCAAATAAAGCCCACGATAACAGACCATGCCGTTTCACCAATTAGCATCTTTTTTTGTTCATCTTGTACTGTGATTTTCCCATCCAGTGTATTAGAGGTATTTTGATATTTGCGTTCTAGACTTTTTTCTCTCTTGTGCTTTATGTTCATTCTGTCTGCTCTCATCAGTGCCCCAGATCCTGATGTTACTGATAGCTGTTCCCGCTTTGGAATCCTGTCCAGTGCTGAATAAAACACAAATGTGAAAAGAGCAAAGGGGAGGACTATGCATGTTAAAAGAAGTCACGCATAGACGAGACTCACATAATAGCATGTTAATGTCCGTAAGTCGTCACAGGAGGTGTTTTCTACATTGTTCAGATATTATCTTTGCAGTTTTGGGAAGAAAAACATCACAAACCTTAAACAAATTGTGCCAAATGTTATACACTGGAAAACAAAAAGTTTTATCCACACTTGTTTTTATAACCCCTTGTTTTCTTTCTGGAAAAAAACATCTGCTTTAATACTAAATCTTGCAAATACCTTAACATGACATAATTACTGTATTATCTGCTGCTTTATAGTTTTCACAAGTGTTCCAATCTGAAATTGGGGGAAAGCGTTACCCACTTTGGCTTACACTAGCTTCATCAACCCGAGAGATGACATCGTCACCTGTCCCCTGTAAACTGGAAGCGAGAGCTGAGGACTGAAAAGGAGAGCCCGTCCCATGTCCTGACATGTGCAGGTCAGCTCCAGGGCTGTTTGCAGGAGCTCGCAGTGTGTGCACTGCCAGGCCTGGGAGCTGTGGAGCCAGCAATGGGATCGGCATTGTGTCTCACTCCTCCATAAGCCTGGCAGTAAAACCTGCATCCGAGTCCGTCGTCTGGCTGGTGAAGAAGCTGTTGTTCGCTCTCCAGGATTATGGCACTAAAAAATAGGCATTTTGGTGAGGCATGGCTTTGATGTACATGCATGTACAATATGGTTCACCTCTTCCAGGGTCTCTAGAAATTAAATAGGTTGAATAGCTGCTGTTGTGATCTGTGTAAGTACAAAAGCACAACTTGCAATTCTATCTTTATATTCATTTTACTAAACCTTTCCAGAATCCTTACGGTTCTCCATTCAGTTTAAGGCTTGGGTTAAATCTAAATTTTGATCCACAGTATTATGGCTTTTTTGCAAGATGCTTTTTGTTTCTTTTTGTTTTTTTGTAAAGGAAATTCCCCACCAAGTACTGGGATTGTGGTTTGCACACTGATTTAATCTAGGTTCAAGTCTCACAAGCCATCACACTCTCTTGGGCTCTTTTATTAAGAGAATCAAGTTCACATTGAACTCTAAGCACTGATAGAACCAAAAGTTCTATTGGAAGTTGATCATTTTTTAAGTTTATAACTTAAGTTTAAGTAAGCTTAGGTTCAAGATCCATCCTGGTGCTTTAAATGTTTTTATTGTAAATTAAAATATAAATGATACAGGAGAAATAGAACAGAGTCTCCTTTCCTCACCCCTGTTAAAGTTAAAAGCTCCTTATAAAGATCAGAAGCACTGACAGGATGTTATACTGTACATATGAAAAAGTGAAGAAACCTGTCAATGGAACTTGGTAACACTAGTATATTTTAAAGCAGTTTAAGTAGACTACCTTAGAGAATAGCATTAAGAATCCCATTTAACACACACAAAGGATTTTTAGTATGTGTTCCAATGATCTCCATACCCAGTTGTCCACGCTGAAAACAATGCATTATGATGGACTTTTGCTGAAGTTCAACCTCTCAAACCATCACATTTTGACAAAATTATGTTATTGATTTAGATGGGGGGGAAAAGGAGTTTTACATAATTGCATATGTATTGCACATGGCTAATTTAGTATACAGGTTATGTGTTTACGTGGTTTGGATTTATGAAGAATTATTCTGATACATTCTGGTACTGTGTATACCATTCTGTAAGTTACAAATGGTATTGCATGAAAGCTGACAATCAGGTCCTGAGTGATCACTTTTGTTCTGGGGCTTCTACTGGATTTAGCACTGGGGCTACTGATGAGAGGGTGTGTTTTATTATGCTCTTCATTTCCAAGCTTTCAGTTATTAGGATTAGGCATTTACAGTAAATTGACAAGGGCTCTTATATACATACAGTAGGATTTATGACACTGCTTTCATTTGTGGATGCAAACAGCTCTACTGTATGTTCATAAATAGTGAATTGCAACAGTAGAAATGCAAAACTGAAGTGTTTTTTTTTTTGTCCTCAGGCATAACAGCCTTATACTGTTAGCAGGTTGTCAATAGATGAATCTGCTTTGTACTTTTTCTTATTGCAAAGTATTTTTCCTTCTTTTTGTAATTTACTCGGATTAGGTAACCATAGAGTTTTAATAAAGGAAAATAATAAGGTACAAGTGCTTTTACCTTCATTCCAGTACAGCTACACCCTGCTGTACTGAACTATTCCTTAGAAGCTACTGTAGATTAAAACAGGAACCTGTTTTATGCTTTCTTGCTGTTGCAGAGGCTACATGTGTATTCTGGAATTAGCAATACTATATAATCTTACAAATCTATGTGTAAATACCCAGCACTCACTTGGCTTGTAATATATTAATCTGCCTTGTACATTTTGCTGCCTACAATACGTTAAAGGGACACTATGACACTAGTGTGTTCAAATAAAAGAAACATGTATCATTTAGCTTTACTATGTGAAAACAGTTGAGGGTGTTGCTATGCTCTGAGAAGTTTAATGCAAAAAAGGAAATAAAGACCAGGTAGGGTTACTTTCATATTGTCCTGTCAAAAAAAAAAACTTGATTTGAAATGGGAATCTATAAAAACTCTTTATGGCCATTTACACATCATTTTTTATTATACAGAATTAATTAACATATACCAATAGCAACAACTTCCAGAATCCAACAAACTCTAAACTGAAAACTCTATAATTGTCTCAAGTGCATTTATATATTCTGTACTTTGTAATAAAGAGGAATTTTACAATGTGTAAATGGGTATTTATGGCTGTTTCTTGTTCATTGTTACTATTTATGAAATAAAATTATCTTAAATGTAAAACTGTTGTCTATTCCACTCTGGGATGCGAGGCGATTGTTAGAATAAAGTTGAAAACAAGATATGATGTTTGTTCATTTTTTATGGAATGCTGTCATATATATTTTTTCTGAGATATATGTACTAACTTTGAAAAAGTACTGTTTGCATAACAGTATTGTCAAGCTTATTTTAAAAATAAAAACATTAAGTGACTAAATTATTAAAGATTCTTTTGATATTGGAATGAAGGTTTGATTAAAGGGACCTATAAATTACTAGTTGAAAATTATTTAAATTAATTGTTTAAGTTAAGTTCTTTATTTCTGTCTAGGAAGTGTAACAGAGTCTCCAGCTCCTGTGTTTCACATACCTATGAAACAGTCCTGTATGGTAATCTAAAGTAACCAAGAAGGATGCTGTTTTCTAGGGAAGTTTAATTTGTTTAATACAATCATTAACCAGAGTAAAGTCCCCTGGTAAGTTTGGGGTGGCAGTATGATGAAATCCAGCGTCCTGGACTTGTTCCAGTTGTCCACACTGAGACAGATTAAATATTTGGTCTTGGGACTGTATGTCAATGTTTCTGGCTCTTGGAGCCGTCCTGTTCTGACCCTTCCCCTTCTGAGTGACTGACTGACTTTCATTTAATCGCGAACTGTGATTTGCCTTCATTAAATGACCTGGTTCCCCTAGATGTCTCTGTGATTTTCCAGTGGATCAACACAACCTATTCTGGTCTTTTAAGAGAAAACAAGACTGTGCTAATTGCATGTGATAAGTGGTCAGGACTCTGGACTTTGAATCAGAGGTTTGTGGGTTTGAATCCCAGGTGGGATGCTGCAGTGAGCTCTTGAGCGTGGTGCTTTATGTAGTGCCGCCATTTATAAGAACACTATTTTGTTCCTAGCCCAGAAACGTTTTGGAGTAATAAATATACAAATATTTAATGATACAAGTATTTACACAATACACAAACACTGTTTAACACTATTATGGTTTTCATTGTTGAGATTGTTAGAAATGCTCAACCCAACTAAGGGACCTTACAAAGACCATCGTATTTATGGTGAACCACCATTTTGCACACACAGGCCACTCAACTATTTAACTTGGCAGAGTAGTTTTGTGCATCAGAACTACAGTAATTAAGGTTTGCTATAGCAAAGGGTGTGAAAACTTATACAATAAACATATTTAAGCTGTTTTTATTTTTCTTTGCAGAAGCTTTTTCCACATATAGAAGTACCGGAGTAATCAAATATATTCACTTTAGAAAAATGTGTATTCTGTCACGAATGGGCTTCGGCTTTCCGATTAGACCCTACGCGGTGCGATGTAACCCGAGACAAACAGGAGGACATCAGGGAAAACACACAAGGGTTTATTCGCGAAGGCAGTGCTCAGTGACAACAGGTGCGCCGGTGAACCGGTGAAAACAAGGCATCCAGGTACAAGCGAATCCATGGGGGTAAGTCAGAGCGCAGTCCCATAATCCTAAACCGGGCGATCCATCCAACCAGACAGACACAGGGAAATCAGGAACAGTCCTCCAGATCCCCGGGCTCAGGGAGCGTGATACCAAGGCCTGTGCCCCCAGACGACTCCGCAAGCTTCCGGACATCCATGTCCTAACGCCGAGCCCTGAACATCGGCAGCTCTAGCCTTGTATATCAACACTGATTCTTAACACCTGGGCATAATACAGCAATCAAGCTAGGACGTTGGATTGTGGAGCACCCCCTAGGGGAAAGGATGCTAACCACTAAAATATATCTCTTATAATTCAATAAAACTGGTCAGAATTGGAAGTGGGTAAATATATTTGCATGGCGTTATATACAATACATATTAAGTGTTAACCTGGGTAAAGGCTTCTGCCTAGCAGATAATAGTTGTTCGTGTTAGCAGCACTGTATAATTTTTTGACGGTAAATGTCACACTGAACACGTGATTGTTTGTGAAAATGTAGTTATAGAAGAATTAATAGTATTCTAGCATGTCTTAGACCAGTTTGTTTGCTTTTATTTCTTTTAAATTTAATGCAGGTCAGGTTTACAGTATGTCTTGGCAGCTGATATACAGTACTTTGTTCAAAGTAGTGGAAGGTCATGTTTGTGTTATGAAAAACACCTGTTGCCTCCATCTGTAATGTTTCAAGTGTCTCACATTCTGTTTCTGATACATGTTTTGGCTTTAAATATATTTCCATCGCCCTCTCTTAATAAAATGATCAACTTTTAATGAGCCTGACTGTACAGTACTGTATGCTAGAGTTATCTCCAGCCCACTAATCTTTTAAAACCAAGAAAACTGACTGAATTTGTTTTCAGAAACTCTGCATGAGAGAAAATGAAGTTACATGACTAGTACCTGCTACTACTTGCATTTCTTAAAAAAAGCTTTGTAGACTCTTCACGAATAGTCGATGTAAATATTTTATTTATCCATTTCTACCTACACTTTCCTCATACGAAATTAGTTTGTTCATAGCGCCATCTGGTGTTTATGTCCTATCGATCCTTCTTACTTCTCGAATATTTTCCGAGAACAAACCACGTCTCATCAGTACCGTCAACGCCGAAATATTCTCCAGATTCTTTGACAAACCTCGACTATTGGTCATATAAAAAATAAATCTTCTGAAGTATGTGATATGTTTAAATACAAGATCTTTGTTTGTAGTGTATTTCAGATATACTGTACTGAAATGATATAATAACCACAATACAGCTATTACAAATCCATCCATTTTCTAAATAGTTTATCCAATTCAGGGACAAGGGAAGCTGGAGCCTAACTGAGCAAGCAATGGGCAGCAGTTGGGATACACCCTGAAGCAGAGCTGTAGGATTGTAGATTTTCTTCCTTTTTCTTCCTTCCTTTTCCTTTTATATAACCATACTGTAGGGTTGTACTGTAGGTGTATTATGGTTACCACTTTGACAATCACCCTTTTCTATCACCAGTGTATCACCAGTGTTTTTCCCAAAGAAAATGCTGGTCCTGTAAAGATCATGGGCACTGAACTGGGTACTCCTGTGTGTTTGTATAGGTTGGTCTGATTGCTAGTACCAAAATCATATGAGCATCTCATCCAGTCCTTTCTTGACACAAAACAGAGAATTAGCTTTGACAACGTGGCTGTCTTTGTGCCTCCAGTTCTCCGTTTAAAATTCACACGCCTAGAGATTCCTGAAGATCCACATGCCTCTTCCTGTTGTTAGTGTTTTCTCAATTGTTAAATATTTAGGGGAAAAAAAAAACCCAGGTAATTCAATTAAACTAGGACTACAGAAGAGATAAAAACAGGAAACCTCTGGGATTCCTAAACAGCCTGAAAAACAAGGAATCATTCACAGCTCAGTCGGTTTGCTGCCATTCAGTCAGACTGCTGACAGAGCTCCAGAGCACAAGACCAGTTTGATCACATGGATGGTTTTTCCCTGTTTAACACCTATTAAAGGGAACCTGCTAGACTTCTCTTGGTATCAGTAAAAAAATATTAACAGATTTAGAGTCCAACCAAACGAAAAAACAAGGTATCAGTTTTATCAGACTAATGTGAACAATCTGAGTAAAGCTATGAATACAGTGGCCAACGGATTAAGAAGTGAAGGCACAGGAAACCATTTCATCTCAATTTAGATTCGAGATACTTTTCAATGTTTCCAATGGATACGAAATGCATTGGAAGCACAATGAGAAAAATCCAAATGTTATGTCATGAAGAGTAAATCTGACCAAAATTATGAGCTGCAGTCTTTCTGTTTTAAGGAGGTGAAGGCATCCAGCAATATTCAGCTCTCTACAGAGTTTGCGTATGGGGACGTCAAGGGGAAATTCTGAAAATATTGTTTTTCAGCCATCATTCATCATTCTAAGCAGAAAAATGTGAGATGTGGTATAACTTCAGGACTCTTTTTGTTTTTCTTTAATGTAACTTTAACAGATCCTGAACTCTTATATTGTAGTGATGGTACTGAGATAAGAAAAAGGTGGATAAATAACAAGATGTTTACTGTACTGGAAACAGCACAAATTGTCCTAAGTGCAACCACAGAGTAAAATCATGCATGTCAATAAAGCACCAATTAATGTGTGAAGAAAACTGGGTATTGATGAGAGGAGTTGTTCAGGCTGGAGTGAGGATATTGAGAGTTCATAAGGAATAATGTTACAAAAGCTGCTCTTCTTTGCATTGATGACACACTCTCTGGTATACTCAAGGTATGTATTATCCATAAATTATTATTTTTTTATTATTTATTATATCTTTATCCAAAGTAACATACATAAAGTAACCACATCCCATTCTCATACTATGTCATGTACAGTAGTACGATACATAGAGCAATATAATGAAGCTTGAAAAAAAATGAAGTGATACCATAAGAGAGTTGGAATAAACAGTGATATAATAAAGATGGAATAAACAGGGTGATATACAGTACAGTAACTTAGCTGGGGACACGGAACCTATTGAAACAAATACAAGTTTCGCAGTCTGAGCCAGTGCAGTGTTACTCCAGCCTGTGTGCCCTCCTGGCGGTTTGGTCCTTCTCATTTTAAAGCCACCCCAGAGCCTACGTAGAAGCTACAGTAAACATGGCCGGACCCGCTCAGGACTGGGTGGAAAACCTTCAGGCAAGGCTAATGAGGAGGCCGACCCAAAGGTGAACCAGTAGGTGGAGCTCTTCCCTTGGGAACAGAAGAGACCTTCCAAGCCGGCGCCTCGTTGCCCTGTAGCAGGGTGGAATTTCTCCATTTACTTTAAATTCAAACCGAGTTTCCAAGGACTAGATCATCAAAAATCCAGTGGCACTTCACAAATGAAGTAGAAAAGATAAGTATGGATTTACTCCCATGGTGGATGTAAGTCTCCATCTATATTTAAGGTGTTTTGGAATCGTTTGCGCTGAGGACGGCTATGTAAATTCAAGGAATCACTACCATCTTGCGGGCAGCAGGGGCCGCCGTTGTCAACATTGCTGGCTGGCGGTGCTCGTTCCTGTGATGCTGTTTGTGTCTGAAGACATACTGGCAGGTTAATTGGCTTCTGGGAGAACCGTGTGTGTTCTGGTGTTCTGCGATGGAACTGGCTCCAGGTGTACCGTGTCTTGCCAGGACAGGCTCTGGCTCCCCAAGATCCTGTATTGGATAAAGCAGTTAGAAAATTGATGGATTAACTTCTTGCACTATTAGGTAGACGCATGTCAGGTTCCTCAAAGCTGTTTCCATATTACTATATATTCATTTGGTATTATGGGAACTTATGTTCTTCTTTTTAAATGTCATTATGTCATTCGAATGCTGGTTGAGTCTCTGGGGTTTTTCGGCATGTCATCATCAATCGTCTCCTATATCCTTTCGTTCTTGTAGCATTTCTTTCACTCAAGAAAAGCTACTAACAACTGGTTGCACGCTCACGTTTCAGGGAGCGGCGTATCCTGTTTCAGGCGGATCACTGACTTCTGACTCGCTGTGAAGCACACAGGTGCAGCACATACGAACGAAAGACTGTAAAAGACTGTACAGTCAAAAAAACTCGGCAGTACTCTCCTGACATCTACGTCACAGGAGTGGTTGACATTCCAAGTCAGTGCGACTAGCAAGCCAAGATCTCTGATCTGCGCAAATTTCCCCGGGGCGGGGCCGACTGACGTCACGCAGCGGCCCCTCCCCCCACGGAGGCCCCTCCCTCCGCAGACCTGCAGGAGTGCGGCGATGTGGTGTAGGGACTGTGACGTCACGCACAGCAGGCGTGAGCGGCAGGCGCAGCAGGTTCTGGAATACGAGAACTGATCCCACTAATTCCAGTGGTGACCCGAGTTCGGCGCTGCAGCAGAAAGGTCGAGAGGGGTCCGCATTCCGCTTCATAACAGGTGAGATTCTTCTTCTGGAAAAGATTGAGTTTTTTTAATCACTTTTTAAAGCAAACGCTTATTTTGTGCTTTCTTTTTCTTTGTCCGTTAAGGATTTTGTTTCATGTCATTGAATCTGCCCCATTCAGTTTCACGGACTCTGCTGTAACTGTACGATCATTTTAGACTTTGAATACACTGTAATACACATCTGATATCTAACAACACGTTTAAATATGCAACGTCTCTTGACACCTTTCGCATTCGCCTTACTGTGACACCTTGAAGAATGAATGGCTATTCGCTGTTGCACAGCGTGTCTTCGGACAGGAATTTCAGGATGTAGTTAGCTCCCTAAACCTGTCGTACAAGCGTTATTCAGGGAGACTGCTAATTTGAGGACTTCCTCTTCTGAATCGTAAAATTCCAGGAAATGCAGTACACGGCAAAAATCATCGGTCGTACTGGTCAAATTACAGAGGCAGGAAAAACGTTTAAGCGAGTATTCTGGTATCTTGTACAGTAGCAGTCCATTACAGACGATATATCCGCCTCCCTTTCAGATATCAGCATAGTGGGTGCTGCATTCAGATATTTTTTTTTTGCTTTTACAACCAAATATAAGTAATTTCAATCGCTAAATACTGCATGTTACATATATATATATATTAATGCTAGCGAGGCTACTAAAACCTACTGTCATTTTACAATGCCTTCAAATTAGTTTCGTTTACAAGCAGAAGCGATGATCAGATATCTGTCCGTTCGGGTGCGTCTAGCCTGTCCGTGCTCTCTGTCCGTCTGTGTTTCAGCATCTGGACAGCAACCAGAAAACATTCGCGAGGTCGGCCTTCACGGTCACCGAGCACCACCGTGAGGGCCTGCTTGTTTTTGTGATCTGGGATATTCTGGAGTACAGTGCGACGGGTGACAGCCATGTTAACATGTAATCCAGAGGTGCAGACTTCAGAAATTAAACAGTGCAGTCTGTACGATCGGGACTGCAGTATTTGTCTATCAACAACTATCTGGTATATGTGAACATCAGAAATGAAAAAAATGTTGATATTGGCGATTGATTGGCTGATGTTAACAGTCAGAGTTAAGACTAGGTGACATCTGAAACTGTACCGGGTCTGTTTGAAGGATGTTTCATGTGCAATCGTTAACCCTGTCAGAATACAGCTGCAGTTTCTAAAGACTCAAAGTGAGCCTCTTCACTTGGATTGTGAACTGTTTTAAGAGATAAAATGGGGCCGTTACCCAAGTGTCCTGGCTAAATGCCATAATTTGGCTTCCAGAAAAGTACTCCTTCAGTCACACGGTGAATCATTACTCCCTGCCTGATGTGCCTTGGGGCTGTTCTTCAGTGCTGGTGAGGGACATTTAAAGTCCACTCACTGGGAGCCAGTAGGTCTGTGGTCAAGGCTTGGTCTGATATCTATGTATTTTGCCCTCATAGTATCATGAAAAGTGTAATTTTCCTGCCATATCTTTTCCAGTAATATTAGCAGTGATAATTCACAAGGAACTGACCGTGTTTCACTGACCAAGATATTGTCTATCTATTAGCTATCTGGATTTGTGCCAAAGAATATCTGTAAGTCTACATAAATAAAATGGCATCAGAAATTGCTTCTGCTCTATGTCTTGTCCTCTGTTCCACTTTCAGTTAAGGCACATTTGTTTTGTTACAATTAAGCTGCGACGCGTGAGAGAATCTAACCATACACAAAACGTTTCCCTTTTAAACTTCTGTAGGCAACTTCAAGAAGATGGCCCCTGGTACAGAAGGGAGAGATGAAGAAAGCCCAGCGTAAGTAATTTGAATCCAGTTCACAGTGGTGTGCCACTACCACCACTGTCTCAACGTGGAAGTGATGATTTATTTTTATTGTAAAACAAAAGTAGCAAGGTTGACTTATTGTGAGATTCACTTCTTAACAGCAAGGATCTCTTTGTTGAATGCTGCACCTGCCCCCTAACAAGGACAAAAGCGCAGAGGATAAAAGTGAGGAGTTACACAAGGCAGAGAAGAGAGGCTGATTCTGTAACAACTGTTCTTCAGAGGCTGGTGTGCCCTGATTGGCTGTCTAACCAAGTGGGTTTGGCCTGTATCCTGGGAAACAGACTGGAATTCTAACTGTAAACAGGAAACGGGAAAAGTCATACGATCACAGCATTTGCCTTGACGTTATTGGTAGGAAGATCAGTCAAATGACTTGCAGTAATTTTGAGATGTTTTGACTGCTCAATGTACTGTGTGTGTAGTAGTAAAAATAGAGAGTAAAACACAATGGCTGTGAGGCCTCCTTCAGATTAGGGGTGTGTCTCCAGTGAAGAAGGAAGAAAATACAAAACACAGTTTCTCTTAGGATACCAACATAGAAATGCAGCTGTTTTCCAACAATAGTAGTATCTATAGTTCTGACAAGCAACTATTGATTTCTTGTCAGCTAATGACATGTCATGTAATGCTTTTATAAGAATTGGATTAATCAGAATAGCATTTCTAATATTGCAGACTGTCTAAAAAGAATTTAAAAAAAGCCAATTCCAAAGTATAAGATAGGAACTGGCCACCTAAAATTCAATAATTGAGTTACACTTTTGTTCAGCCATGTACTGTATGAGGTAACAAAATGACAAAGTAATTTGAGAAAGTAATGACAATGGTGCCAGTGCAAAATTGTCAAGAACTGTGCAAATGCACAGAGAAAAGTGTACAAACAGGACAAAACCAGTGCAAAAATAATACCGCGATTATTAAATTGTACAACTAGTACAGTTTTAAGTACAATTAGGGTGACATGCAGTTCTTCATTCTGTTTTCTTTTGCAGTGGACATCCATCATATGTACTGAATCCGCACTTGAGCACAATTAAAGAGGATATTTTATACCATTTTAACCTGGGCACTGCCAGTCATGATCTGCCAGCCATGTTTGGGGACGTCAAAGTAAGACACCTGAGATTTCTTTAAGCAGAACCCAGAAAGGATTGCTGACCATTCCAGCGTGTGATCGCCTGTATTGTGTCTTGACTCGTCTCTAGTTTGTGTGCGTTGGAGGCAGCCCCTGGCGAATGAAGTCTTTCATACAGTACATTGCTGGGGAGCTGGGGCTGGGAGACCCCAAAGCTGAGTACCCCAACTTCTGCGAAGGCACGGATCGCTACTGTATGTACAAAGTGGGGCCTGTACTGTCTGTCAGCGTAAGTCTTCAACCTTTTTTGATGCTTCATGAAGTTTTATTAAAAAGTGATGCTAAATTTCTAATTAGTCCTTCATTATCAATAAAAATAATTGCTGTCATGGATCATTAGTGGAATCTAATGAAGTGATTTTTAAAGTATAATCCACACGAAACCATGATTAGGAATGCTGTAGCTTAAACCTGTGATATCTTTTTGTGTTATTTTTCAGCATCTTTCTTAATGCAAACTTGCATTTAGCATGTTGACTGACCTGAGTGACTGTGTTTCTGTTTCAGCATGGGATGGGTATTCCCTCCATTGCTATAATGTTGCATGAGCTCATCAAGCTCCTGCATCATGCAAAATGCTCCAATGTGACCGTAGTGCGCATCGGGACCTCAGGTGGAATAGGTACCTGTTCACACTTGTTTTTTCTTTATTTCCAACTGCACAGAATGACTAGGAATCAGATTTACTGTTTTAATTATTATCATATTTCTAACCAGATATATGAATTATTTTAACTGTGTGTAGAAATGAACATCCACAAAACAAGTGGTACATTAGGTCCTGTCATACAGTTCCCCATCTGTGTTCAACAGAGGTAATGTTTGCGAAAGCTGCTCAGATGATTTCGTCATGTTGAAATGATACTGTTGAAATGATTACACAAAAGGAGCACATCGGATAAACCCTGAAGTAATGATCCTTTTCGTTCTTCTTCCTCTCACGAGGTCTCGAGCCAGGCACAGTGGTTGTCACAAAGCAATCAGTGGATGCCAAGTTCCAGCCCCAGTTTGAGCAAGTCATTTTAGGCAAGACAGTGATCCGCCCTACAGACCTGGATGAAGAGCTTGCTCAAGAACTGCTGCAATGCAGTAAGGAGATAGACGAATTCAATACTGTCATTGGGAACACAATGTGCACTCTGGATTTCTATGAAGGTATAAATGTGGAAGCATATTTTTTATATATTCTTGCATATCATGAAAGTGCCTTAGGAAATAATCCCTTAAAAGCTGGTGTACACAAATATAAATTATTATTGTATAACTTTACATTGCAAAACAGAAGGTTATTATGATATAAGTCTAATGAAAAGGTTCACCTTATTGCAAAGGAACCTTTTGTGAATGATGCCCTTAATGTCTTTAATTTGTTTGTTTTCTTTTTTATATCCCAGTGCAGTATGACAACCATATCATTTTCTCAAGAAAGTTAGCACAGTTGTCAATGAGTTGCTCTTAGAAAAACACACATGCAGGAATGCATTGGGGCACCAATTTATTAATTTAATTTTAAACTGTCTTTTACTTATTTCACCGCAGTGCCACAGTCTTAGAAACATTCTTAGTAAACATTATACACCAGCAAATTGCTTTTTAAATGTTCCAATAATTTTTTTTTTAAATCACCAGAATTATTTATCCATTTTTAATTAAAAATGTGTGCAATAAATGTCAAATTCAGTAGTTCAGACGAATCCTGTATTAAGTAAATTCAGTTACAATGGCTTTCACTTTAACTGGTTGCATAACTGTCACACCTGTCTTAAAAATCAAGTCTCTTCTTCACCTTATCTTGTTCTTTTCTTTGCTCTGTAGTGGTTGGAACCTGTATTAACTGATAAGCTTTTCGTCTTGCTTATTTCGATGTGCCGTCTTTCCTTGAAACAGGGCAAGCTCGCCTGGATGGTGCCTTCTGTTCCTACAGTGAGAAAGACAAGCTGAATTACCTGAATGAGGCCTATTCTGCAGGAGTCAGGAACATTGAGATGGAGTCATCTGTGTTTGCCTCCATGTGTAAACTGAGTGGCCTCCGAGGTATGCCCTCCTCTGTCAAGGACTGGTAACCAAAATATAGGAGTTTCAGACTAATCGGGTTTTAATTCAGGCCATTTCAAGAGATTACAATGGGATTACTGGGACTGTAACCCTCACTGGTCTTTCCTGTGTTATTTCACGTAAGCTATTTAAAGAAATAATTAAAAAATGCATATATCTCCCAGAATTATTATTATTGTTGTTGTTATTAATACTACTACAGTTGTGAGTTGCTCAATCTTTGAGATTGCCGTCTCACTCGTGTTGCTGTAATTCCAGGGGCAGTCGTGTGTGTGACGCTGCTGAACCGGCTGGAAGGCGACCAGCTGACCAGCCCTCATGAAGTCCTTGTGAACTACCAGCTCCGTCCGCAGAAGCTTGTGGGGTATTTTATAAAGAAACAGTTGCAAAAAAGCAATTAGCTAGTATACTCATTACAGCAGATGACTGTAGGCTGTTCTTTCTTTTTTACATTGAAGACCACGACACATATTCACAGAAATTCACTTCTAGATTGAAATTTTAACCCTTATAGTGATTTTACTGACTTCCTGATGTTATTTTGTAAATAAACAGAACAGCCTTTACTACTAAACCAACAATTCTTCTTAATTCAGTAGCACTTGGTATGTAGATCATATAATGTACTGTATTCTCTTCAAGAATAAAATGGTTTTGTGCCAAAGTATATATTTGCCTATAAAACACATTTAGAATTAAAAAAAATGTTTTCTATATATATATTTAAATATTCAGAATGCTTTACTGCACTCCTACTTTAATTTATAGAAAATATGTAATACATGAATACAGATCATCTTATACTGTAGATACCATAAAATATACAGTACAATTAAATTACATTATAAAGGAATGAAAAAAATCAGTGGTGTTGAACGTTTGTGCATTTTAAACTTGCACAAGCCGTCAACAAAATAGTTTCTTTTAATGATTATCCTAATGTAATGCAAAGACAATAATCTAAAACATACACACGTCTTTGCAGTTTGTTTCACGCCTGTCTTGTCACATGGGCAGCAGATCATGAATCTTGCAGTACTTATCCATGATGTACTGCATATAAACCAGTATCAAAGAAAGACATACAGTTCAATCCTTCCAACAGGAAAGGGCTGCTTGTTTACTGTCACTTGAAGCTATTGTAAGTAGTTTCTTACTGATGCAGCCAAACATGTTTCTGGATCTTTAACAGTTAAGAATTATTTTATAACATCTAGGGGTAAGGGGGTTTTTATATGGTAAAGGGAGTTCACCTCTAAACACAAATACTGTACTGTAGGACTCCCAACAGGCAACATTTTGTATTTGTTTTGATCATATGGACTGAAATGCCAAAGCAGTTTGTTCTTTTGTGTTTAAATGCATGGACTGAATGAATGCTACTGTTATACCAACTGTGGTAGGGTACTTGGTTAGCGATTGTAAGTGATTAAAAAAAACACAAAAATATTGTAACAACAGACAAGATGTACTTTTTATACAGGAAACAAATAACTGATAGTTTCTTGCCAGTGCATTGGAATAACTAGGGGAACAATTTGGACTCTCAGATGAGTTTGGTTATTAAGATTATGACAAAATCAACACAGTCTTATGTAAATATTCATACAACTGTTAGTTTGATGTTTCAGGAGAAATTTCAAGAATTCTGATACTTTATACAGTAGATTTCAGTAGTTGGGTTAGATCCTAATGAATGTTACAGAGAGATGAGAAATGTAGAGAGTATTTGCTGTGACTCTTTTAGCTGAGGGAATGGGGCAGCCCAGCTGTGAGGAATGAGCTAGGGAGCTGCTGCAGGGGTGTAAATGGGGTGGTGCGAGGGATGTGAGAGATGCATGATACTGTACGTACTGTAGGAGAGCAGACGTGGGTGAGATTAGGATCTAACCTCCCTCCTGAACTTCTGTTGCAAACTCCACTACGTACTGAAATCTGTAACATTCCAATGTCAACAGTACACAACAGTAGCACAACAGAATGTAAACAATGCAATGCAGTTTTTAATTGAAATAAAAACACAAAAGCTCTCATCTCTTGAATTTTTTCTTGATTCTTTGCTGATTCTAGTAGTCTTGTGATTGACAAAGGACTTTGTAATGAGTCATATTTGTAGCGTTTTGATGTGTTTCGTAGTTTGTATATTGAAATACTGAGGTGTAGCACTCTGGCACAGTGGTGGGGACCTGGGTTCTACTCCAGAACTGGGGTGCTATCTGTCTGGAGTTTGTATGCTCTCCCTGTATCTGTGGATTCCACCAGGTGCCTCGGTTTCCTCACAGATCCCAAATATATACTGGTAGGTTAATTGGCATCTGGGAAAACTGGCCTTACTTCAGTGAACTAACTGGCCTTAGTTCACTGAGAGTGTGTGTGTCTATGTGTGCCCTGCAATGGGCTGGCATCACATCCAGGGTGTATCCTGCCTTGTGCCCATTGCTTGTTGGCATAGGCACTGGCTCGCCTGCCACCCTGAAGAGGTAGAGGCAGTTAGGAAATGGATGGAGAAATATTAAGAGGAAACATGAGACTTTAGTCTTCTAGCATGATTTATCTTAACGAGCTGATCTAGCACACAATAAGACAACCACGGCCCTGGAGAGCCACAATCCAGGTGGTTTTATAACTCACCTTCAAAAAATGAAACTCCTTACACTTGGTACAATTTCATTTTAGCCACACACGCAGGTGAATGTTCAATTAAAACGCTAAACAGATGAAAATACCAAAAGCCTTTTTCTCTCAAAAGTCCATGGTTGGCTACTCTTGAATTAAATTGAATCAATCAATTTACTAAACAGATCAACACTCACATGAGTTTTCACCTAGGAAATCTTTGTAAATTGGTAATTTAAGTGTGGCTTATGACACATTCAAGACGGAGATTTTTCAGGAGGAAGGCTGACCAAAAAATAATTATTCACACAGGAAGGGCTCCCCGCTGCACAGTTTCCAGTGCAATCTCTTTGATTTTCCATTGTCCCCTTAGTTTCCATTGTTACCAGATACTGGCAACAGTGTCCGGCTGGCAGAAGAGGTTTATTGTGCTAAAACAATAAATGATTGTGTTGCTGAGACATAAAAAAGCTGCTGTTCTGTAATTCCATTCTCTTTTTAAAAGAGTCGAACGGTAACTGTCACACATAGCACAGTGACTGGACCAGCGAACAGGTGCTTCAGAAACCTTCAAGGTTTAATGAATAATATTGCAAGTAAACATAACAGACAGAGAAACATTTTCAAACCACTTCATCCAATACAGGGTCACAGGGGAGCTGGAGCCTATCCTGACAAACAAGGGGTTCACAGCAGGATATATCCTGGACAGGATACAAGAACGGACATAATTACGATAATCAAGATGAATAACATTCAAATATGAAACATAAGACATGACGCAAAGGAAACTACAAAGTATTGTGAGATGTGATTGTGTAGCCCTCACCTCTGATGCACACTGCTTTACAAATACTCATCCTTTCTAGCTGCACAAGGTTGTTGCACCAACCAGAATTTTCTTACCTAAATCATGAATACCCCTGAGCTGTTGAAATCACAGACATCTCTAGCTTTATAAACATCGGTTTTTACACATCTCATTACAAAATAAGTTTATGTTGTAAGTACAAGTATGGGAAATCTTGCCAAGTTACAGTAACACTAGATGACTGTAAGTTTAGCTCAAAACTTGAAAAGTGAAATTAAGGTTCCTGAAAATTCTTCGGAACCTTTCCTTTGTTCTGTTGGTGCTATAGAAATATTGCATTTTGCATCTGCTTACAAACTTCAGATTGTGGGAAGTTAGAAGGGGTCAATAAAAGTTAAACAGCTTGTAATTTTCAGTTAACCAGCTGATGTGAGTCACTAACCTTCATTTTGCAACAGCAGCACTCCTTGTGTGCTTCATGGCTTTATCACTACATCAGCAGATGAATGTTTCAGAGCTCAAGCTCTGAAACTTGTGGACAAGTGTGGAGTTATTGTTACTCTTCTTTTTGTGATTTGTTTTTCGTTTTTTTGGTGCTGAAATGTTTTGAGGTGTAAAACACAAATTCGGATATATGTTAAATTTTTCAGAACATATGATCTATATGTTTATGTAAGTTCTAAATAAATAAATCATTATACAGTATGTGTTTCACATTTTTGGGATTATACATTTGACAAAATGTCTGAAATATGAAGGCTTCCACGTGTTACAGATTCTGAACTCCTCATCCCTGGAAATAATGCATTACATTTAGGGAGTTGAAATAACATAAAATACTTCCAATGTGAAAGTATCTTTTCGTTAATTTACTATGTGATCGGCTGCGTCATCTGAGTCCAGTGTCCTTGATTGGCTGCCTAGCCACGTGGGCGTGGCCTATGTCCCAGCAAGTAGAGTGAAGTTCTGACGATAAACAGGAAACATGCTAAGTACAGTGGGGACATGTTGTTCGCATGAAGTTTAATATACTAGAGTGTTTAGGTTGCTGGTCCA